TACAATGCCTACTGGTGATTTAATTATTGCACATAAATAACAAATATATATGTACAAGTGTTTACTTTGAACTAGATTGAGAAATTTTTTATGTATTACTGACAGCTTACTTATACTTAATCTGCAAAACGTTTTTTAACTTTTTACATAACAATTGAAATCATACAAATAAGTGGTAATATCAAATTTATGCCTATGTATAGGTCATCAGAAAACGTCTGACCAAGTCATAAACACAGTCCCAGCAAGTTGGTAAAGTCCTTTACATGTTAAAATATTTTAAAAATTATACAGAAAAATTATTCACCATATTATGTTACTTGGCATTTTTGGATGTAGCTTTTCATTACCTACAATGTTTTTAAGATATAGTATATTAAGCATCAAGAACGGTAAGGACATTTTACCGATCGTTTGTTTGAAGGTGTGAAGCGACGACTCGGTAAATCCTTAACGTTCGTGATGTTTATGACGTTTTGTGCACAATTGGTTTTTGTTAGTTTTTTTTAATAAAATATCTAAAAAATGTTCTAGAACACCAAAGTATTTTGGCGTTCTAGAACATTTTTGAATGCTTACCGACTTAGTAACAATAAACAAAATACTTACCGACAAGTTTGGGATATCAACGTGTAAATACAACTTACTGTCTAGGAAACAGGCGTAGTAAACAATCAAATAAAGTCTAATCGCGCAAAAAAGTTTTATTAGTCGATTTTTCTATGTCTACCCAAGTGTAAAGAAGGCGTTTTAAAAAAAATACAACTCTCTAGGATTTTTTACCACCAATCGCCCTATTTTTTAATTTGACTGGGCTAAAAGTTCGAACAGAGATTGTGATGTCGGACCAGGTAGGCTGAAACATTTTGGCCACAGTTCACAAAACGGACCGCAATTCACCGAATAGACTTTACCAACTCACGGGGACACCCTGTATAATTAGTGCCCTATATTTATATACCATGACGACAGTCTTGAGCTGCAATTTTATAACACTTTACGAAAACGAAAATTTCACACCAAAGTCCAGTCGCTACTCGTACAATAACGGTAAAAGTTTGCTAAGATGTATTTAATTAGCACCTGAGTTCTGGAGCCAATTTTTGCCGTTTTGGTGCTGCTATTAGTCCGAATCCCTCGAAATTCAATAGCAAGGGTAATGAGATGGGAATAGGATTTCCCTCGAATGTCAAAGGTGTGGTGGGTCGAATCTAATTGATCCCAAGCAGAGGAATCTCGAGAAAAACAGGTAGCTGGCATTGGAGACAGGTGGCTGTTTGAATGCCTTCCATAATGAATGAGGAGAGTTATTATGAATAGAAAACGAGCGATCGATAATGCAAGACGGGAAAAAAATTGCATAGCTTGATTACAAAGCGACAGATTATTATTAATACAACGGCGAAAGAATTCAATTAATATTCAGTTATTGCAAACTAGGCGCCACTGGTTATCACAATGCGGATTATTGTTTTGAAATCATGCTATTACGCGCACTGTCTTGCATTAATATCCATAAGAAAAGTATAAATGAGACGATAGAAATAATAAATAACGAGTCACGCTTCACAAGACCGGTAACTGTTTAGATGAAAGATTAGATGACAAACGTGATAATAAATTTTTTGAACCAGGTCTAAATCAGGTTTTTATTTAACAATTTTAAACAAATTTTTGCAATAAATACACAAATAGTAAAGATATCTAAAATTCCGTCAAAGATTTTCTTTGAACCCAAAGAGTTACTGGAAATTAGAGACCGACACACGAAAATCAAGTTAAATGTTTCGAATAAATACCGCAGAGAGCATTAAAAACCTAATAAAATTCCAATTTGTTTCGATTAATTAACTTTAAMCTCTCAACCCCTTACAGAAAACAAAATTTAAAAAAATTATCTGGAGTTTGTAAGTTCATGAAAAGCGATTTAATTAAATGTTATTAGTCGATAAGATCGTAAAGGTGAATAAAATAAAACGATTATTATTATTGCCGTATTTATTGTGTTACTTTATGACAGGAAAATACTTTACTTAGTAGGAATATCACTTGTGTTTATTAGAAGCTGTCACACTAGCTATAAATTGTAAAGCTACAGGTTTTAGTGATATAATAGAGAATATAACTAGATACGCCTGTCAATTTAGACCAGCTAATAATGTAACTTTGTAAGGATCAATACCTTAATAGGTAGGTATAACTGGCACGAATCGTAGAAATCATTGATTTAATCACTCGTGTCAATAAATATTCCCACAACCATAAAATTCACTGAATACTAAAAACCCGATGTTGTTCTCCAAACATTCCAAAAAAATTTTATGTATTTTATGGCTTTTGAAAATTGAAGCTTTCACGTAAAATCTTGACAAAAATTTCCAGGCTGTAAGGGTGGATGGAGGTGCGTCACTTATGTATGTACCATGTCATTTTGATTCCCTCTAGAAACCACCGAAACGGTTTTGAGTGATTCTCAATATCTTTTTCAGTTGAGAGATATTGCCGATTGCAAGTTTTAAAATTGACACAGTGTATAGTATTGAAGATACAAAAGGGTGTTATTTATGTATAGGTAAAGCACATTCACAGTGGTGTAGGTGGGATGTGGTTGCATTCTATCAGCTGTTCATTCACGTAAAGTAAAAACAGACTATTTCCTTCAACTACTTACTCCTGACATAATAGATGGGGAGAAACAAAAGGGTTGATGTCCTAGCAGAGGTTGCAGCTGCAATGGCTAACAGACGAATATGGAAATGACAGGAAAATAAAATGTAGTATTGTCGATATTAAATTACATTAGTAACATATAATAATAATATTTTTGTTTATTAAAATATGTAATCATAAATAAACATGTGTAGGTTAATTTTAAACAAGTACATAAAATTTACTAAATCAAATGTCTATTTTTGGGTTTATAGTAACGTAAAAACGGAATATACAAGTGTGTAAGAACTCGCGCACCAGAGAAAAATTTCAAGTAAGATAAGTGACCAGGAACATGAAAAAAATGTGTAAAAAATTCTGTTAAAAATTCTTGATATTTAACATTTTTTTTATCTTTATTTAATGATGGTGATGATCCTGTGTATGTTTTTTTAATAATTATTTAGTAAAGATACAAAGATGTGGCAGTAAAAGCCACAAATAACATTAAACAGAGTTACAATTTAGGATATAGCTTGTTCCCTCTTCTAATAGCCTGTAGCAAAAAAACTTGGAAAATTATTTGTCCAACAGAAATAAAGGGTCAAAGTGCAAAATTTAAACTCTCATAACTTCGAAAATTGTATAGATAGAATTTTTTAACATTTTTCCATATTCCTGGTATCTTACCTTACCTCTCTGGGGCGTGAGTTCTGGCGCACCTATAGTTTGTATGGATGTAATTTATTTCTAGGTAATAATGTAAGTAAATTTTTTACATTAACATAAATGTATACACGTACCTATAAAAAAATTAGAAATCCACGACATTTCTTTACAATTTGTGAAAACAAAATAAAAAAAGATATTTATAAAATTATATACATTTTCCCAATAGGTATGTCTCATGCGTTGCGTTTAAATTTGTGTTAAAAACACAGAACTCTCATATTTTCGCTTCTGCTTCTTCATATGTATAAGAAGTAAGCTTTTATTTTTTTTCTTTTCATACATTGTTTTCAGTGAAAATTAAATTTTAAAAAGAATAAACATGTACTAAAACCATTTATTTAATTATCTTGTCTTACAATAATGTATTTTCAATAAGAAATAATAACGTACTTCTTGCCTATACCTACAAATTTATGAACCTGATAATTATTTTTTAAAATAGATGCATAATAAATACAACTACATGTAAAACATAATCAAAGATAGTTTCACTTAATAAAAATTTGTGATAATTGAAACACAAAAAAATCTATAAATTATAAATTTTAGTCTCATAAATTATCAAAACCTTAAAACTTTTAGTATTTCAGTGTTATATCAAGACCTAATTAAATATTCCCTTTTACTATTTTAAAAACGTTTGTTTAATATTAAATTAAAATATAAAAAGTTTAATAAAATTTATAATGTTCGTTTGCATTTGAACCGAAGGGTCTATGTAAATACCAAATAGAAATATAATATGAAGTATGAAGTTTACTCTACTCAAATGGTAAAAATCCATGTGCTTTGAGAATTAATAAATACTAAACCTTCTTCAATGAAGTAAAATTAAAATCTCCGTCAAAGAATATCTAGACAGTGTCTTTGACAGAACTTTGTTCTCTACAAACCTTCTTTCTAAAAAAGTTACACTATTCGTACCTAACTATATTGATTTTCTAAATAAATTATTTGTGTGCCTTAAGTACTTAAGAGAATAATTTTCTAAATCACATATTAGCAAAGTTTTTCTTGTAAATTGCTCTAATATTAAAATTGAAAATGAGGGTGACATATCTGTTATTAATTAATATTACACATAAGCTATCCGGACACGTCATCATTTCCCTTAATCCCATTCAACCCATAAATTAAAAATTTATCAATCTATTAAGTCGTAAATAGACCATAATCAACCAATAATTAAATGGTACAAAATTATCTAATCACAATACAACAACTTACAAAATCATAGAGTGCAGTACGTTTCAACTGAGCCATAATGTCTTGTCTACTTTTTTATCCACCATTTAAAAACTTAATCTAAACAGATTACCACTGAAATGTTTAGCCGTGTGTAATTTTTGACAAGTGATAAATAGGTCACGATAACACAATTAAAGTTTAAATTATGTTTCCTCTTGACAGGAAATAAAAAATTAAGTATTACTTTTAACACTAGATTAAAACCGGCAAAATTTAGAATCCCACGCTCCCTCACGACGTGAGATGCATCTCATTGAGTAAATTCAAGGTATCGGGAGGAAGATACGGGGCCGGTTTCTTTTTTTCCAATTACAGACATACGTTTATGGGAAAAATCTATTCCGTTGATTGACAGAAAAATAAATTCCTACCGGGTTCTTCAACGAATTTAGCTCCAATCCCCTGGTAGCAAACCACGCACATCCAAATCACTTTCCACACATGGTTCATAAAGTAAACATTTTGAATCACCAAAGCCATAGTCACTTGCACCTGTACCATTCACCACCCCCGGCGCTGTCTCTTTTAGTAGTATATAGCAAACCACGAAACCGGCAGATCGCAGCTCTTTGAAAAGGATTGCCTCCAATGCTACCAACACAGCGGACGAATCGCCACTGCTGGCGCTAAGATCTAAGCGTGCGCCCGGCCAATAGCTGCTATTCCGATCGGTGCCGAACGCCTACGAGCCTTTAAGGGCTTTGTTGTTGTATCAAGGGCTTTAAATGCTTTAATTCTTAATCAGACCGATGAGATATTTCCTCACTTCTAAATACTCACGAAAAATGGCAGAACGAGGTCGAAGTTGTGGCGAGACTTGGAGCTTTCCCAAATCACGATACCTATCTAACTGCGTTCGAGCTTTTTCCTACTTACATTATGGACATTCAGTCATTTTTATGAGAGATACGGAGGCTATGAAGATAACATCGGGCTGTATCGAGTTCGTTGGGTGTTTACAGATAACAACTGATCGACCATGAAAAACTCAAATTATAAACGCAAGATAACTGAAGTCTTCGGAAACCGAAGTCGAAAACTCCAAAGCATGAGATAATTTTATTTCAAGTGATACTTGAAATCAGGGGCGGCTCATGTAGCGGCGCTGTAAGTAATAACATAGTATGTAATATGTACATACAATAATAGAACTTATCCACTACTTTTTGACGAAAAATCCAAATAATGTAGTTTGCTTCTTGAAACAAGCAAATCTCTAATTAAAACTTCATTATTCTGACTCAGTGGAAAAAATAGTTCATTTTTCTCTTGATTTTGGACTTTTTTTTGAATTATTTTTTTAGGGCTTTAAATCCTATCACATTGACGGTTTTACTTTTTTGATAACAATGTGACTTTGACATATGAGTTTAACAAGTTAATTAACAAAAATGTTTGTGAAAGACATAATTTTAGTAAATGGTAATTCTAAAAAATAAGCTTTAAGATAACAAGAACAATCATTATTCAATTAATTAATTAATTTTCAAAGTGACATCATTGTCAAAAAAATAAAATCGCCAATGTAATGAGATTTGAAAAGCAGAGAAAAATTATTTTAAGTCCGAAGTCCAGAGAAAAATTAACTGTTCTTCCAACTGAATCATAATAATAAAGTTTTAATTACAGATTTGCTCGTTTCAGGTTAAGCAAAAAAATGTTATTTTTGAAGTTTTAGTGTAAAATCAAAGATAACAATTTTTTCTTCTTGTAAACTCAATCCGGGCACATACTGTATAATATTCTTTATTGAGCAGTCAGTCTATTTCTACCTCTAGATACATATTTGTTCGTTAACTTAATGCAAGTAGTATTCATATGTTAACACAAACACAAACAAAGATGGACAAAATTTCAGCATCCCTGAGGTCTGAATCTGAATATAATTATGTGATTCCCCGAATTTCCTGACTGTTAGTCATAACAATAACACACGCGCGCATGACATGCTGTCCGCTTAAAAAAGAGATTTTGTTTTCAACGTTCCGAATTGGGTGTCTCGTCCGTTTATGAGAGAGTCCGTTTAACAGAAGGACAACGCCATTTGAAATACATTAGCTCAAAACGGGGCTAACAAAAATGTCCGTTTAACAGAAGGCTTCGCTTATAGAAGGTGTCCGTTAAGAGAGATTTCATTGTATTTACTGAATATAACGATAATAATTTATTTTCTAATTTTTTGCCTACGCTGCACGAATACAACAAATTATGATTCTCGAGCATCACTAGAGTGTGCTGTCTGAGTCAGCAATGTTGCCAAATTTTTTTTTTACAAAACCCGAAAATTTTTAAAAGAAAAACGCTTGGTTCCATACTTTTTATTTAGGAGAGCGATGGGTATTGGCGCTCACCTAAATTCCAATTGATATTTTGAGAGAAATAATGATATTTTATGGTTCTGTTTTCGCCAATCGGTTGCCTAAAGTGTAGAGAAACTAACTCTATGTAAAAAATCCTCAGAATAAAAGTCAAACATGTAAAAAAAATCTACATCACACGACTGTTATGTAATCCTCACTAATTTCGTAGTCAATTGGTCGATATTTATAAATGTCAAAGTAAAATTCAATAATGAAATCTAATGTCAAAGATCGTTAGAAACTAACAACCGCAGATATATAAGAATGGATGTATTTTTTATCATTTAGACGATAAAATTTCATTTTAACATGAAGAAAAGAGTAGATAAAATCCAATTTTAACATAGAGGATTGAATAAAATATTTTATTCAATCCTCTATGTTGCTCTCTAAATTGCTCTCAAAGAAAAAAATCAATTTTATCGTCTTGTACAATAAATAACTATTAGAGTGCCAGTCATAAAGAGACAACGTAAAAGTTTTACAAAAAGAAACAAATTTTTCAACAATGTAAATATGTAGGTCAATGCCTGATTAAACTGTAGGATTTTGACGTTTTTTTTTAATTATAAACATTTAACTTTGCTCTAACAAACCTGTATTTATCATTCCTTCCATTGTACAGAGTGCGCCAGAACTCGCGCACCAGAGTATAAGGTATATAAGGTAAGATTCCAGGAACATGGAAAAAATGTGTGAGTTTGCACTTTGACTCTATTTATTTCTGCTGGAAAAATAATTTTCCAAGTTTTTTGCCATAGGCTATTAAAAGAGGAAACAAGGAAGCTGTCTCCTAGATTGTAACTCTGTTCAATGTTATTTGTGGATTTTATTGGCAAAATTTTTGTCCCTTTACTACAGTAAAACCTCCCTTAACGGACACCTCTAAATAGCGGACTAACTAATAGATAGGAATATGTTATATACAATGTAAAAAATCCTCTCTATAACAGACCCTCTGATAAGCGGACGCAGACAGTGAAATTTTCCCCAATTACCATAATGTCATATAAATTTACCTACTACAACGGACAGACCCGACAGAGCGGTTTACTCTACAACAGGTCATATACGATTCAATGATTAAATTAATGAGTTGCAGAATACAGAATTAAAGAAAAACTTATTATTAGTAACAAACTCCAAAAACATAATAAAAAACACTTTTGGTCTAAACAAACAAACAAAAATTAACGATGTTTTAAATAAAAATGTTTTTTTCTATTATTTTTTTTTAATGCTTTTATAGTCCATAAAATGTAAGAAGATGAATGCTTGCATGTATTCATAGAGTTCTGTTACGCAGTACTTACTTTTACTTTGATTTGGGTAAAAATACCGAATTTAGGTTTAAACTTTAATTTCAAGTAAATTTCAACATAACATATTTTAACAGTGTCCTTTGATTGCAGTGTTTTATTATTAATATTATACATTAATCAAGTTATAATTTAAGAACTGTAATTTCATAATAATTTTGTTTTTGTTATTTTAAATAAATGGCCTTTCAATTTTTTTTACAAAATCCGGACACCTCTCATTAAAGGACACCTCTTCACAATTGACAATTAAAGATTCCCCATCGGTGTCCGTTGTTGAGAGGTTGAGAGGTTTTACTGTAATTGTAAAAAAGATATGCAAGATCATCAGTATCATTAAATAGATATAAAAAATTTCCAAACGTCAAAAAATTAATGTCAAAATTTTTTGATAGATTTTTTTAAACATTTTTTTTATGTCCCTAGTATCTTACCTTTCTTTAAAATTTTCTCTAAGGAGCGAGTTCTATCGCACCTGCGAACCTGTAGGTACTCAGTAATAAATTGTTTACAGTCTACAGTTGTAGAAGTATAAAAGTTTTAAAACTACAAAACACGGTCCTAGGTTAAATTAAAATTAATAATTTTTATTTAATTACTGTCTCGAGAAAGTTTTTCGCCCAAAACTGGTTATAAGTGCGTAGGTAAAGACGTGTGTAAAAATATAATTTTTGTGACCGAAAGCTAAATAAAAATAAAATTTACTTTAAAAAACTGCACTGCAGAAAAGTGCAAATATTAAATTTATTTTAATTTCATTTGGCGATATTAAAATAGCTTGCAATATTTAATCTGCTTTATATCATATTTAAATTGGCAGGAAAATTAGCGTTAATTAGTGGTAAAATGTATTTTGAATAAAACATTGGAATTAAATTAATCTAGTGAACAACGACAAAAGTTCTGTCTAAACAAGAGGGTAGGTATATAATTTCCAGGGACAGAATAAAAGTTAGTCTTCAGCAATGTTTATGTAAGTAATTTTGGTATGTAATCCGATTAATACGCATCAACCAAAAACCACATAAGTTAAAGAAAGTGTAGGAGAATTAATTGTCAAAATTGTTATATGTAACTAACTTTTTCAGGCAGGATTGTAGTTATAAGATTAATTAAGACTGTGTCATAATTTAAAAACAAAAGGAGAGAGTTTAATAAAGTATAAAGCTGAATTTACAAAACACTCCCCCTTTTGCTCGAACAGAAGTTTTCAAATAATAAATTCTCTGCAGCTCTTCGATATTCTCTAGCGATAGTTCAATAGAATTCACTAAGTCCTTTGTATCTCTTGATTTTAACCGTACTTCTCTTCTAAAAGCATTATTTATGTTCCACAAGACTTCTAAATTGAAAGTTATTGTTATTACGTCTTGAAATGAAGCTCTGAATTAAATCATTGAAAAAATTTAATAATGAAATAAACCCCATCGAGACAGTACTTTAAAAAAATATGATATACATTTTTCCCAAGCGCAGAAAAAACCGAGAAAATTTTATATTTATAAGTCAGGATCGAATTGATTAGGGAATTATCGGCTATAAAATTTTATAGCCGGCTGTTAAATGCATTTATAATTCTCTCCAATTATGAGATTGCAGCGTAACTCCCGATAAATTGTAATTAAAAATTTTTGTTTCATATGTGTGTTCAAAGCAAACCCTTGAATGGGGTCCGTTGTTCAGAGATATTGCTGTACAAATTCAGTAACATGTCACTGTAATGAATATTTATCCCGTGTTAGGATCATTGACTGTGATTTTGCACTGGAATTTATTTCAGCCGGCTCAAAATTCACGAGGGTAGGGAAAAAGTAGTGGCGCTCTAGATAAGTACGAGTATAATAATTAGGTACACTGACCGGTTCTTAAAACGCCCGATAGATCTTCTGCGGTCTAGAGAGTAATAATTAAAAGCTTTCTTCAGGGTTGC